ACCAATCATTTAAAAAAAAAAAAAAAGACATACAACTGAATGTGTCCCCGAAAGACTGGGTAGACTATAAGGAAGGCAAAGAGCTGCCTAAGACCTACACATATTTTCCCATGGCTATTGAGGGGAATATTTAGAAGCGATGCCTAAGTATATCAGTTCATTTCTGAGTGGAGCACAGTTAGAGTGCACCTGGCATGGCTCAGGGAGGGCAAAGGTTGGCAAGAAGAGCTAATGACTTCATCAAGCTTGCAAGTTCATATAATTCCAGCCAACCACAGACGTGAACCAGAGTAAGGTGGCAAGGCAGGACATAATGGTGGTGATGCATGGAATGTTCAAAGGAATGTTGGACTTGTCTGCCTTAATCTTTCCCTGTGTATACGCATCTTTTTTCAGACTTGCCACTTTGATTGTGCGGTAAGATTTATAAGAGTAGATTATATAAAGTGTGTATGTCTAATTGTCATGTTGTTTTTATTACCTGGGTAGATGGTAGCTCCTCTGATGAGTAGATATGATTCGTTGATTAAAATGGATTAAAACAGGGTTTAGCTCGCATAACTTGAACTAACATGGCTGATTTCTTTGCTTGAGGAAGCTATGCATGCATTTGAATCTAAGTGAGAAAATTCATGATCAATAGGATATAAAATGCGAAACAGCTTAGTATGTTTGGTTCTCGCTGTGGGGAGTGTATCCATTCGTATGTGCAGTATGATTTTTAATACAGCCATGGGATGCCACCATTCACTTTTACATGTATCCCAGCTACAGGAGCATTGTCCTGTCTTCCCACTCTGTATTAGTGACTGCTACTGTGTGAAAGTGTCCATGGAAATCCATGTGGTGAAAATTTAATCTCTGGTAATGATGTTGGAAGGCAGTGCCTAACAATAGGTAATTGTGAATGGGTTGATGCTGCATAAAAGAACTTAAGGCTTGATGTTTTCTCTCTCTCCCTCCCTCTCCCTATCTCCCTTCCTCCTCTTCTCCCTCTACCTTCTTCCCTCCATTCCTCTCTTTCTTTCTCTCTCTCTCTGCCCCCCACCATTTTCTTTTTTCCCTGAGGAAACACAACGCAAAGGCTTGTCAATCAACGCTGGCTCCTTAATCGTGGACTTTGAGCCTCTATCATCATGAGCCAATCAGTTTCTGTTCATTATAGACTTTCTAGACTAAGTTATCCTGCATTTAAAGCGCACAGCTTCTCCCAGGCTCTGGAGCATACTGTGCATGTGGTTTTCGTCCATGCACTCCGCAGGCATCTACAGTGGAGGTCTTCAAGGAGGGCCTCTTCCAAACACTCAACATGATAACAGCATTGCTCCTCTAGTCACTTGCGGCCTCGCAGTGCTGTGCTGGCTCCATCCAAGTATCTGTGATGACAAGAGCGGTGGAGCTCACCACCTTGTCTTTTACTTAGCCAGCTCCTTCGCTTATAGTAAAACCACCCCAGGCCCTGAGGCTACAACAGGCATTTTTCTTTATGGTTCTGGGGGCTGGGAAGTCAAGATCAAGGTTAGATGCTGGTTTGCAGATGGCTTTTCATATTGCTGTGTCCTGCACGTGGTGAGGAAGAGAAAGAAGAAAAAGGAGACAAGGGGAGGGGAAAAGAGGAGAGGGGAGGGGAAGGGAAGAGAGGGGAGGGAAGGGAAGGAGAAGAAATGCAAATACACTTCCATCTATTGCATACACTAACCATACCACAAGCCTCCACTTTAGTGTTCTGATCACCTCCTCCAATCTGTGCTTTATAATAGGGCTTGATTTAGCAATTTGGGAGGATTCCAGGGACACCTTTTATGGTTAAGACCTTTGCTTGTGAGTTGTAAGATGGGAAGAGACTCTCAAAGAGTGGATGTCCCAGGGCCTCTGTTGCTGTGGAAACTCCAGTACTTTTTCAGGTCTTTTCTTCTGCTTGCCTGGGAAAGGAAGGTTGTACACATCTGAGAATCATAGGTTTCCTAGGCATCTTGTCTTAGACTACTTTCCTTTCTGTGGCAGAGAACCCTGACCTAGTGGTTTATGAACAAAAGAAATGCATTTCGCTCATGGATGTATGGGATGAGAAGTCGTAGCCTGAGGACTGCGTCCAGCAAAGGTCTTTGTCTGAGTTAGGTTTCTGTGATAAAACACCATTGCCGCTGTGATAAAATACCATGACCAAAAACAACTTGGGGAGAAAAGGGATTCCTTCGGCTTATGTCACACTCCATCTCTGAAGGCCAGGACCTCAAAGCAGGGACCTGAGGCGGGCACTAAAGGAGAAGGCATGGGGAGGGGAGGGGGTGCTGCTTACCACCCTGCTCCTCATGCCTTGCTCAGCCCGATTTCTTCTAGCATCCAAGACCACCAGTCCAGGGGTGGCACAGCCCACAGTGACCTATGCCCTCTCCCACCAATCATCAATGAAGAAAACATCCAGTAAGCTTGCCCACAGGCCAGTCTAGTGGGGCTTGTTTTATACTGAGGTCATCTCTTTTCAAACGATTGGCTCACGTCAAGTTATTGTAAAACTAGCCTGCCCAGTCTTCTTGTTGGGTCTTCCTAATTAGAAGACTGGGAGAGAAGGAGACAGACAAGAGTGAGCTGCTTTTAAAAAACACTCACTCTTGCAATACTTCTGTCAGTTCATTCTGGGGACAGTAATATAATGACCTACCTTTCATACTGCAGTATTGGGATGAAGTTTCCAAGTGAACTCTGGGAACACATTCAAGCCATAGTACCACCTTTCTGCCATTCATCTTCCCACTGCTCGTTCTTGTTTTGAAAACACCCTCCTTCTTCCAGCCCCAGAGCCCGCCCGCCCACCCACAACCCCCATGCTGACGGTGTTCAGCAGCCAATGGAGCCTCTACCTCCAATGGTGACAGGTGACTAGTGTCTAGTCTATCCTCATACATAATCTAGAAACAGTCCTGATATAAAAACTGCCCTCCCCAATTCTACTCTCCCATATATCTCCCAGATAGGTCTCTGTATGCTATGCCCTTGTACGAAAGTGTGATCTCTGAGTCTCAGGAAATTTTATGCATCAGCCTTTTCCTTTTTGGGCCAAGACATACCCATGGGGCAGCCAATGGGATGGAAGGCACTGAGCTAGACTGGTCTGCCAAAGCAACAGGACCGTGTTCCATCAGCGATGTGGTCTCAGGAAGGTTTCCTATTTTGGATGAATAAAAGCCTGTCTTGTCAAGCCAGGTCTCAGTAATAGACCTGAGGATAGAGGAAAGGCTTTTCTTCTATCCCTCTGAATGCTGAAGGCCAGGTTGTTTCCATAGATAAGCAGAGATGTTTCCTGACTGGAGAGATGGCTTCGTGGTTAAGAGCACGGGCCACTTTCCGAAAGGACCCTGGTTCAATTCCCAGCACCCACGTGGCGTCTCACAATTGTCTGTAACTCCGGTTCCAGAGGATCCAACACCCTCACATATGCAGGCGAAACACCAATGCACATAACATAAAAATAAATAAATCATTGAAAGATATAGACTCAGAATGGTAGAACTAAGGATAAAATGCCTTAAGTTCTATTTTTAATAGAAATCAGTGTAATTTGATTGAGAGCACATTGTTCTATTAATTACTCATCTCTCAAGTCTCCCTTGGAGGTATTTATTCACTGTCTTGTGTGTCTTCCCCGATAGAAGACATTCCTCATGAATAAATAAGAGGAGGACAAGACAGGGCTTCATTCAGTGTTAACTGGATGCCAAACTCGTGCTCAGTTCCTTATTTGGGTCAGGTCCCTTTCTCATAACAAAAGTGCTGGCAAGTGTTCCTAGCCTCGTTTTATACATGAAGAAAGGGCAGTTGAAAGACATGAAGTTCCTTGCCCAATGCCAAAGAGGTGGTAAGTGTGGAATTCAGACTAGAGCTAAGTTATATAGATTTTCATATAAAAGTAGGGTTCTAGCCTTAGTGGGAGGGGCTGGAGCAGGCATCCTTACAAATCTTTCTGTGTCTTTGGATCTTATTGATCATGAATGCTGGGCATAGAGACAATGGAAGCAGTTTCTTACCGCCAGCCCCAGTGAACTTCAGTGAAACTAGGGGAAGAAAAATGCCTGTCCATCAAACTCACTGCTGCTAAACCATAATTTAGGTAACCATAAGGTAAATTACACGAAAACGCAGCTTCACGGATAAAAGATCCATTGTCCGGGAAGAATAGTTTTGGTGGATTTCCGTGCTTTCTGAATAAACATAAGCCAAAAGGTGCATTCTTCTGGCTGAGCCCATGCATTCCTCCATGCATGAACATCTTTTATTAATCACGGGAATGACTTTGTTGCTTTGCATGTAACAACAGACCCCTCCCGGTGTTTGTTTAGGCGGGTAGCCGTGGTGGCAGTGGTCTGGTTGGTATGGGCAGTTTAACTTGATTAGATTTCTTCATGTGAGAATGACCAGCTCATTTCTTATCTCCGCGATACATGGAGGCAACCGCAGAATCCGAAGTTTCAGTAGGTGTGAGGGTTAATCGTCATGTAAAGATATGTTTTGGTATCACACCCCTTCTGGGCTCTTTAAAGCTTTATCTTGTGCAAACTGAGAAATGTTAGTGTTTCTCATGTAAGTTCCAATAATGCTTTTTTAAAAAAGCATATGTGCATTGGTTGAGGTTCCTTTTAAAATAGCATTAAAAGAATGTATATGTCTATTTGTACATTGAGAGAGAGAGAGAGAGAGAGAGAGAGAGAGAGAGAGAGAGAGAGAGAGAGAGAGAGGAGAGAGAGAGAGACCCCCATTGGGGAAGAGGTTTTTTGGCATCACTAGACTGTACACTTCAACCAGGTCGGATCATTGTGAATATCATAGGGTCTTTCACTCTGAGACTGTTTTGCCCTTCAAACAGCCACAGAGGGCATTGCCAGTGACTGTACCAAGTTGAACCATGGGTTTTTCTCCATGCCCCGTCTTCTCATTTCAAGAAACTTTAAGTCCGCCTTCTGTGTATGAAGCCCACAGACATCACGCTCTTGCATTTTTTCCAGGCAACAAGGGCTGCCATCACTCAGCACTGCACGGACCTGGGAGAGTTGCTGGGCAAGGAGAACGATGTAGCCCTTATCATTGACGGCCACACCCTGAAGTACGCTCTCTCCTTTGAAGTCCGCAGAAGTTTCCTGGACCTGGCGCTCTCGTGCAAGGCGGTCATCTGCTGCAGGTAAGAACGCGTAGGCTGGGCCCAGTCTGCGAGCTTGATGTGTCTGCGCTGTGGGCTTCTGGAGGAATCGAGGCACAGGGACTCTAGGCTTCAAATTCTGCGTTAAAAGAAATGGACAAAGGTAAACAAAGACAGGAGTTTCTCTTTGACCGTTGACTCATAGGTTTTTGATCAAAGCAGCAGGTGGCTTTTGCGCTTTTGTTTCTTGGCACTCCGTGGGGTGGTGGCATGTCCATTCAGGGTGGGTCTTCCCTCCCCACTTAAAGCTCCCCCAAAACACATTCACAGACACACCCAAAGACGTGCTTAATTATAACAATAAGTGTTTCTTAACCTAGTCAAACTGACAATTAGAATCCATCATTGCACCCCCAACTGAAAGTCCTCATTGGTTCTTTATGGCATCTGAGAAGACTTTTGAGGGTGGATGTTGCTAACATTCCATTGACAACATATAACATGGAGGTCCACTTCTCTAGTAGGAAGATAAGTGGCCACCGTAGGTAAAGGGCCTTTGACAGCCAGAAGAGCGACAAGCATGCTGGGAACCCGGTCTTCTGTTGTCTCTTATTGTGTCTAAGATGCTCAGTTGCTAAGTGGGTGGGACCTGTCTTCCATGGGTTCTTCGAGACTTGGAAGTTATTATCATTCTACCTGATCCATAAGTACTGTCCGGTCCCTTTCCGCCTGCTGCTTGCATTGTTCATCAAGAAACAGTCCCCAGCTTGTCAGTGGCTGAAGCAAACAGTGGGACCAGCCTAGTAAACTGCAGCTCAAAACCAGCACACTAACCCCTTAAAGAAGCTTTCACGGGCCAATCAAAATGATTCCGTCTGGGTCTCCAGACTGCGGGAATAGGCTCCATCCTAGCTGCTGTGTACTGCTGCGTACACATCCGGCTGCTGTATACTAAAGAAAACACCGTGTCTTCTCGCTTAGGCTGCCTTCACCTGGCTTTGTGTGTCCCACAGGTGCAAACCTTAGGTTGGCACAGGAAAGAGCTCTAACTTCAGTAGGCACTAAGAGCCAATTTCACATTAAATACAGTGACCATCTCCTACACAAAAGTGTCCATCAGAAGGATCCGAAGGGGTTTCCAGCATCCCTGCCCTCAGACATTTCTTGGCCGATGTCACACCTCTGATTCAAAAATGGCAGCAACAAAAACCGAATGCACACTTTATAAACAAAACGTTCAGTTGCTTCGTCTGTGTTCAGAATTGTGAGCCAAGTTTCACGGGTGACTTTGCACAGAAAGTTGGGCTTATTTCATCTTCCATGTTGAAAAGATAATCATTTTGAGTCATTCTTTTCTCGAAACACAGAAGAAAAAGTTCTGGGGTTTTTTTTTTCTCAAAAAAATAATTTTCTGGGAAATCGTTATGTATTTTCTTATCAGTATGGATTTTTGTAGATGGTTGAATGTTGCATAAGAATTATAATGTAATATAAAAATTCCCTCAAACTAAGATTTAAGTAGTGAGAAGAGGAATCTCACCCACCCCCACAGGTCCCCAGAGAGCCCAGCCACTCTCAAAGATCTCGTCTCTACACTGAAAAATGTCCCTGTATTCCAAAGGCAGTAACCCCATAGAAACCCCCTCCAACCAAGCACATGGGGATGCCACTGTAGTCCCAGATACTCAGAGAACTGAGACAGGAGGATTGCTTGAGCCGAAGAGATCAAGCCAGTTTGTGGAGAAGAAGTGCAAAACCTATCTCAGTCTAGGGTCCTTCTTAGTGATGTCTTTGGACATTCAAGTGTGCCTCCCTCAACTGATACATGCTCAAATACCCGCCCCGTAATATTTAGGTAAATGGGAATAAATTAGTCTTTATTTATATAATTTTTGACCTTGGAAGTCTATTACATATTTTGATTAAATTATACTCAATTTTGCTAATTACAGTGTGCCGTACTCCAGTATTTTCTATGCAGTTAAAAACTTAACAAGGGCCTTTGTAGTCAGCAGGACACTCAGTTTCCCGTCGGGATTCTTAGATGCTGCTGTATTGCTTGTTGACCCTGTAAACCTCCGCCTAGAGACAACTGCAGCTGTAGGTTTGATATCTGCACTGTACATTCTGGGTGTTGTGAGAGAACTGAAGATGTATGATCTCTGTTCTTCCAGGTCAGGGTGTCTTAGTGTATTGGTGTTAATGCCTTGCATCTGCCTTACATCCCAGATCTTGGGCTCTGGCCTTCAGTGAGGCTGTGGTCTCACACACTTCCCCTCGTCATAAGCAACTGCCATGTTCTGTTTCTCATTTGACTTCTAGTTCCTTTTCACATTTGTCATTGATGGTGTGCCCTGGTTTGCTTCCCTCTTGCCTTGATGGGACACTTGATGGAACCTGACTGGGGGAAAGGGGTTTATTGGACTTACGGTCACAGTCAATCATCAAGGGAAACCAAAGCAGAAACCCCAGGCAGAAACTCAAGCAGAGACCATGGAGGAACGGCGTTTAATCCCTTTCGTTTGTCATACAACCCAGGACCACCTGCCCAGGGGTCCCATGCCCCACAGTGGACTGGGCCCGCCCCATCAATCATTAATCAAGAAAACGCCTGATAGACTTGCCCACATGCCAATTGGAGGTAACTGGGGTTCTTTCTTTCCTGGTGACTCTAGTTTGTATCAAGTTCACAAAAACTAACTAGTACATAATTTCTCCATCAAAACTAATAATTGTTTTCATTGTTGTGTGTGAGAGCGAGAGAGGGGTGGACGGTTGCTTGCACCACACTGCACCTGTCAAGGCCAGTGGATAAGTCCATAGAGTCTTTTCTCGCGCACCTTTACCTGGACTCTGAAGCTGGATCTCAGGTTACCAGGCTTGTGCAGCAGGCAGGTGAGCCATCTTACTGGCCACTGATGGCTCCTCCCTGAGGTGGTTTGCTTTTTCTATTTCTGTGACATCTCTATCACCTCCCTATATATCCCGCCGTGTCTGCTGTATTTCTGGAAGCCTCTGGATATTTCCCAGAGCTTTGGTCACAGAGCCTGTGATGGCCCCATCTTCGTCTCTTCTCCCTACATGCGTCCCCCACATCGGTCTCAGCTTTGCAGAGAACCATGCAGAGAGCTTTACAGGGTGGGGTGTAATGGGGGGAGTGTTCTAATGCAAATGTGCCAAATGATGAAGCCATTTTATTTTTAGGAATAGACACAAAAGAATTCAAAACAGGTACTCAAGCAAAAGCTCATATACATGTATTTAAAGTAGCATTGTTCATAATAGCTAAGCTGTGTATACAACTCAAATGTCCATCAGTTCAGAGTGGAGAAGAAGAATGGGGTCTATCTGTATGATAGTATTCAGCCGTAGAAAGAAATGAGGCCCTGATACATGCTGCAATGTGAGGAACTCCAAACCTATGCCTGACAAAGGGAGTGGATTGCAAGAGGTGGTATAAGGTGCTATTCGAACCCTATGGAATATTCGGAGGGGACAAACCCATAAGCTAAGCAGCTAGAAGTGAGAAAGAGGGAAGCTGCTTCATGAGTGCAGGCTTGGCTTTTGAAGTTGGTGAAATGTTCTGGATCTACATGCAGAGGATGGTTGTGCTGTGATTATGCTAAATGCCATTAGATGTTTATTCTTTAATGTGGGTAATTTTTTAAAGATTCATTTGTGTGTGTGTGTGTGTGTGCGCACATGTGCACAGCACATGTGTGTGGGTACCTGCAGAGGGAATCTTATCTCATGGAGCTGTGGTTATGGGCAGTTGTGAGCTGCTCAACGTAAGTAAGAAGCCAGACTCAGGTCTTCTTGAGAACAGCAAGAGTCTTAACTATGGAGCCACCTTTCCAGCCCTGAAAGGGCGAATTTTATCATAATAAAATCTGTAACTTGTGAATAAAAGAATTTATCTAAGTAAATTAAATTTCACTGAGTTAAAAAGAATGAAATATAGGTCAAGTGAAAGAAAAAACGGTTCCTAGGTCATTCCCCCCACAGAGGAAGCAACCTGAACCCGAGAACTTTACAAATCACTAAGTGATTGTGATGGGCAGTCAGGACCGGGGGAGCCTTTTGTTGACATCAGTAGATACAGCTTCATACACAAGTTAGGAACCTTTTGCAAGATTGAGCCAAATAAAAAGATTATGAAATTGAGGTCAGAAATTCAATTAATTTCACCTGTTAATCCTTAACAAGCACCTCCTTTGATTTTTTTTTTTAACAAATAAGTAAATAAAAGCCTCAAAAATTGTTTTCTTGCACATGGTCTGAGATAGCAAGAAGACCCTGTGGCATGGGGGGTGATCTGACTAATGCCGGGGCCTATCTAGCTTGCTGTGCCTGCTACTTCAATCACACGTGCATAATACTGTCAGTGTTCACAGTTTCACTAACAGTTTACCCAGTTCAGGGCTCTCCCCTTCTAGTTTCCGAGGATTTGTGGCTCTCCAGAGGGAGAATGTTGTAGAGAAAATGTGTAAGCCATTTTCATGTGTGCAAGAACGACTTCTCTGTTTTCTCTTCCCCCCTTTCCCCCTTTTTCTTTGAAGCTCTTTGTTTCTTGTCAAAATGGAAATAAATTTCATAGCAGAGACTAGTGGGGGGTGGGCAGACTTTCGGCCTCCCGGGAGCATGCAGAAACGTTAAGTGGCTATGTCTCATCAGGAAGAGAGTCGTGAAAGGCCCATCAGTGTCTCCCACGTGAGGAAGTTAGCAATGGCCCCTCCACAGACCCCTGCAAGTGCAGGTGACGACGGTGGCCCCTCAGCAGTGCCTAGTTAGCCAGGGTGATGGATGACTCCAAGTGTCTGGGCAGGAGATGAAGTGGAGACGAGGCCCACAGTGGGGTTCACCGTGGATGTGCGTGGCAAGGATAGCAGAGGTCGTCATTTATATTCCTGCATGTGTTAAGACTTCCGTCTCTCAGGATAGATTTAAAAGTAAACATGAACAACCTGGTGGGAAGCCACTGAACAGAGACAGCAGTGAGCAGCGCACTGAATGTCCTTCTAGACTTTGGAGGTTTATTTCCC